CAACAAATATTTTTATCCTGTAATTCTGTATCTTTTTTCTTTGTTATTTAAAAAATTAATTTATTTTATTGTGTCAGAGATTAGTAAATAAATTATGTCAGAGACATAGTAAAACATAAAACAATTACTTCTTCCTAGATGTACATTTCAGTGAGACTGACTATATATTTCAAATTGTATGGCCACTCTCACCTTTCATTTTTTTCCAACATTAAAATAAATTCACTGCTTCTTGAATTTTCTATATATTATAATTCCTTGTTATCAATTGATTGTTTTTGTCAATAGTTAAATTTTCTAACTTCACATTCTTGTTTTTAATAGAGTGACTAACGTGATTCATTCTAAAACAAAATATGATTTAAATGGAGAAAACATCATTAATATTAAATTAAATAAAATGTTTAGTACAACACCTTTTTGAGTCCACGTTATTTACTCGTTCACTAAATGAATATTGAATGAAAAGGAACTAGAAAGACATTAAAAGATATTATATTTTGATAATTAGGATAGTTTATTATTATAAGAGGTCATTGATTATATTGTCTCTTATTTGATAGATGACTGACAAATAGATATGTGGTGCGTAGATAAGTAGATGATAGTTAGATTGAAAGAAAGAAACATTATCAATCCTTGAAATACTTAAGCATTCCAGCCATGTTTTCCCATTACAAGTGCATGACCAATTTCTCTTACTCGATTTAGCATCAGACAGCAGGTAAATGAGTAAAGATAGAAATAGATAGATTTCTTAAGTGATAGACCAGGCACTCTGTTTGAGGTTGTTCTACACTAGGACAGTGAAGGTTACAGTTCTTTTAATTAATTACTAGTCATAAATAGAGCACAGTATACTATACAAAAGCATATAGCCAATAATTCATTAACAAATGCTTAAAGCAAAATGATGATATGCTAACTATTTTCAAAACATATTTTCAAGCTTAAGGAGAGGTCATAAATAAATTCTCTTGTTCATACAGTCTATAGGGGCAAAAGAAAACATGTACCCTCCTGTCTGAGGCTTTGTTTTATCTAAGGTCTAGGCCAGAGTATAGTGAACAAAAGCTCTATTTGGGGAACAATATTTTAAGTCTCAGTTTGTTTTCTTGAGAAAAAAAAGTGATGTATTAGCTTAAAAGTTAGCTTTTCTAGCCATTAAAGTAGCCTCCTCTGGTCTCTAGTTTTCTTAAGTGCAGAAACATGATCCTGCAAATCATCAGGAACTGTGGGACCAGGATAAGACAGAGAATGCTTGTTATACTCACCAGCAAGACTTCAGGGAGACTGGAGCAAGACACTGGTGAGAGGAAGACTGGAGTGAGACTCTGTGAAGAGTGAGATCCTGTGATGACGAGACACAGCAAAACACTGGTGATGATGGCAGAGAGAGCTTCATTGCTGTGGAGAAAATATGGCAAGGTGTAACCAGGGGAAGCAATGAGATAAAGGTCACAGTTAAAGGTTTTGATGTTCTTGTTGTACAATGGAAGGAAAAGCACACTGTTGAACTAAAAGCAGAACCTATATTAGTTGAGGAATTGTGCCTTGGGATTTCTGTGCTAAAACCTGGACTTGAATAGGGTAATATTCTTTGAGTCCTCCACCTTTCAACTTACTTTCCTAATAAACCTCACTGTCAGTACCACAGTCTGTGAGTTAATAATGAATAAACAAACCTCTTGCAGTTGGTGTGTCTCTAGAGGCACTATAGGACTGGGAGCAGTGAGAAGTTGTGCTATTATCTTTGTAGTCCTTTCAAAGAGAAGTTCCCAGACTTGTGTCCCTATGTCATGTTTTCTGATGATTGTTATCAGGAAGAGTTGGATTTGTTTTTCCAGTCTTACAGAACTTTTGTGTGTGTGTGTGTGTGTGTGTGTGTGAGAATGTGGGGCTTGGGAAGGTGTATAGTTAAAATGGTTATTATTTATTTATATAAAGGGGAGGAGACCACCCAAATGGTTACTTTTGCTTCTACTGGGGGTGGGGGAGCTAAGAATGTGCTTTATGGCTTAATAAAGGAAGAGATTGAAGTTGAAATTACTAATTTCTTGGAAAGTTTATGTATTGCAATTTTTATTTATTTAACTTTATGAATAATACTGTTTTCATTTTGTGGATTTTTAAATTCATATATTAATGTTAAGATACATAGTAAAAATGATTAAGATATTTGTTGAAAGTGTAATATACGTGATAGACACTGATGTAGCAATGTTAGTGAATACTGGGTGTTATTATGGTGAGAAACATTGCAATTTAGTAGAAAAATGCAAGCCAGTAGGATGTTAATTGGAAACTTAAGAGTGCTTTCTGTCCCTGTGTCACTTCTGACCTCTTGGCCACAAAAGACTCCCTTGGCACCTCTCTTCTGGTCACAGCCAAGGACCTGAAACTTACCTGCCTCGCAAGCAGGACATCAGGAAGGTGGAGTGGAAGTTGAACAGCAGAGGGAGCCACATCTGAGCAGGACAAGGAAGTTCCCAGGTGCCACGAGGAGTCAAGAAGGCTCACAGGTGGACCATCAGCCATCCTCCTCCTTCCAGTCTCCAAGACTCATCATGTCGCAGAAGAGTCAGGACTGTGAGCAGAAGCACGGGCTCCAGGAGCAGAGCGAGCCCCAGAGCCTGGAGGGGGTGCAGAGCCCAGGTGCTGAGGATGGGGAGGCTGCCATGGCCTCTACTGCCCCCTCTTCATCCTGTGCTGAGAGTTCCCTGATCCCAGGACTCCAGGAGGAGGGGACTCCTTTGGGGGCAGAGAGTACACCCCAGAATCCCCAGGGTGCCTCCTCCTCCCCCCAAGGGGCCATGTCAGCTGAGGGCACCAGCAGTCAGGAAGGGGCAGGTGCTAGTGCCCCCACCGTCAGGTCTTACAGACGGTACAGGCCCAGGAACAAGCTAGAAAACATAGTGTGGCATTTGGTCAATTTTCTGGTCTCCAAGTATCAGAATGAGAAGCCTACCAATAAAGAAGAGATGGTGGACAAGGTCATCAGAAGGTATGAGAACAACTTCCCCAAGATCTTCCGGAGAACTTTGAAGATCAAGCAGATGGTCTTTGGTGTGGAAGTGAAGGAAGTGAACCCCACCTCCCACACCTATGTCCTGTACCCCTTGCTCGGGCTCACTTATGACAATAGCGTGAAGAGTCAAACCCAGAGCTTCCCCAAGAGCGGCCTTCTGATCACAATCCTGAGTACCATCTTCCTGGAAGGCGGCCGTGCCAGTGAGCAGAAGATCTGGGAGATGCTAGAAGTGATGGAGGTGCATGCAGGGCAGGAGCATTTTATTTACGGGGAGCCCCGCAAGCTTATTCAGGAATGGAAGCAGGATGAGTATTTAAACACAGAACCAGTACCCAATAGTCGGCCTCCGCCAGGAATTCCTGTGGGGCAAGCGGGCCCGCAGAGAAACCAGCGAGTTCAAAGTCCTGAAGTTCCTAGCCAAGGTCAGTGGCACTAGCCTAAATTCCATACCCAGTCAGTACTTGCAGGCTCTGAGAGAAGGGACGCACACAGGACCAATCCCAGATGAAATCGCAGCTCTCAGCACCTTGATAGTATTCATTCCACGTAATATCCACCGTTTCCTAACTTTTAGATTCAGGGTTGAATTTCACGCTGCTTGAAGAGAATGGACAACATTCAAAGCAGTAGTGGGCCAGGGTGGAAGACGTGCACATTACAAGTCCTGTTCTAGAGGGGTCAATGTAGATACTGCTGGTTTCTCCAGGAACTTTTTAACTGTTCATTTTAATAAATGGTTTGAGCTTCAGGAAAAAAAAAATTGGAAACTTAAAAAGAAAAAAAAATTCCCTAAAAGAATATTAATAGTAAATAGTAAAATTTGGTAATGACCTTTTGCTTTCTTCATGGATGATAACCTTGAAATCATCCCACAACTCATCTGGTCTCTATCCCCAACCTACTCTTAAGATGACTATGAAATTCATGTGGAATTGATGATGATCATATCTTGGTTCCTGTGGACTTACTTTCATTTTCTTTGGCTTCAATTTAAAATTACATATAAGAAATTGATGATCTGACTCAGTTAGCCCCAGGCCTAGTTTTGACTACTGATATTGAGTTTCTCCAACAATTTCTCCCAAAAATGTAGTCCGTCTGATTCCTATGCAGCCTGTCAGGTGAAATCCACGTCTAAAGTAATCTCTTGTATGTTTTAGAAAAAGTATTTGAAATGAATAAATCGTTGTAAATACAAAATTCAATTATTATCTTTCCATCCTCATTTCTATCACCAAGCCTATATTCTCCAACTACTGTTCCTTCTCATTGTTTCCTATTTTTGCATTCCAGTCACCAATTATCATTAGTGCACCTGATTGCATGTTTGGCCAACTTAAGTCTGCAAAATTTGGTAAAAATTCTCAATTTCTTCCTCTTTGGCACTAAATGTAGTGGCATATACTTGAATAATAGCCGTGTTAATGGGTCTTCCTTGTATGTGTATGGATATTATGCTATCATTCACAACATTAAATTTCAGGAAAGAACTTAAAATTCACTTTTTGACTATGAATGCAACACCATTCTGTTTTTCATTCTCTGCTTAGTATATCATATGATTATGTGATTCAAAGTGGACATAGCTGTTACATCACATCTCACAAATGTCTAGTATGTTGATATTTATACATTCCATTACAGGTCTTTGAAGAGGGACATCATGCTGGGTAGAGTAGAGGGACAGCGCAGGAGGGGAAAACCCTCTATGAGGTGGATTGATTCAGTGACTGGGGTAATCTAGATGGGTGAGTCAGAGGCAATGCAATTGGCACAGCATAGAGCAGGGTTTAGGCCTGTTTTACATAGGGTCGCTATGAGTCTCAAACAACCCGACGGCACATAACAACAAGAACAACATTTAATTTTTAACAATATCTTGTTTTCCAATATTGAAGCTACAAACATTCCACGTACCAATTGTTAACCAATGTTTGTTACTGATTTTCCTCATTTCAATTAACTTCCAATCTGGGCTCTATACTATCACTATACTACTATAACTATCCTCTCTGTTTAGTGTTCATAGGGTTTTCAACAGCCTTTTATTAAGGAAGTAGACGGTCCATCCTGCTTCCTTCCCCCTCCCCCATTCATAAAGGAAAAGGTCATTACAAAGACAGAGGAGAAGGAAAAAACTGAAATGGATGTCAGAAGAGACTCTAAAGATTTCACTGGAACATCAAGAATCCAAGTCTAAAGTAAAACATGTCGAAGTGAAAGAACTGAATAGATAGTTTCAAAGGGCAGCTCAGGAGGACAAAGCCAAGTATTATAATGGAATGTACAGAGAGCTAGATTTGGAGAATAAAAAGAGAACTTGCTCTGAATTCCTCCAGCTGAAAGAACTAAAAAACAAGTTTAAGCCTTGTGTCACAATGCTGAAAGATGCTACAGGTAATATATTGAATGACACAAAAGCATCAAAAGAAGATGGAGGGACTACATAGTCACTGTACCAGAAAAAAATTAATTGAAATGGAAAACTTTCAGGAAGTACCATATGAACAAGAGTCAATGGTAATGAAAGAGAAAGTGGCAGCTGCATTGAAGGCATTGGTAAAAATAAGGCTCCAGGAATTTATGGGATACCAATTGACTTGTTTCAATTAACACATACAGCCTTGGATGTACTCACCAGTCTATGCCAGGAAATTTGTAGGACTACTGTTTTGCCAATAGTTTGGAAGAGGTACATATTTGCCCCTATTCCCAAGAAGGGTGACCCAACTGAATGTGGAAACTATTGAACATTACCATCAGCATCAAATGCAAACAAAATATTGCTGAAGATCATTTTAAAAATGTCTGGAACAGTACGTAGATAGGGAATTACCCAAAGGTCAAGCAGGATTTAGATGAGGCTGTGACACCAGAGATATCATTGCTATTGTCAGATGTATCCTGGCTGAAAGTAAGGGATATCAGAAGAATGCTTATTTGTGTTTTATTGACTATGCAAAGGTGTTTGACTGTGTGGATCATTACAAGTTGTGGCTGATATTGAGAAGAAGGGGAATCCCAGAGTATTTGACTGTGCTCATGAGGAATCTATACCTAGAGCAGGAGGCTGTGGTGTGAACAGAGCAGGAGAGCACTGCATGGTTTGGAATTGGGAAGGAAATGTGTCAGGAATGTATTCTATCTCCATACCTATTTAATCTATATTCTGAGCAAATTATCTGAAAACCTGTACTCTATAAACAGGAATGTGGCATCAAGATTAGAGGAAGACTCATCAATAACCCACGTATTGCAGATGATACAACCTTGCTTGGTGTAAGTGAAGAGGACTTGAAGCATTTATTGCAAAAGATCAAGGAATGCAGCCTTCAGTACGAATTGCATCTCAATATCAAGAAAAAAAGATTCTTACCATTGGACCAACAGGAAGTGTCATGACAGATGGAGAGGAAATTGAAACTGTCAACACCTTCATCTTACTAGGATCCCTTGCTAGGATAACTAAGAAAATGAATAAATATGTCTTGGAGTGGGTGTGCAGCTAGCTGGAGAGCACTTTGGAGGCAATAATGATGAGGTTTCGCCCCACAAACTTTAGACAGATTACTAGGTGGTGCTATTCCTTGGAGAGGGACATGATATTGGGAGGAATGGACTGTTGGAGAAGGAAGAACCTCAGCGAGGTGTATTGACAAAGTGACTGCTGCAATGGGCTCTTGTGTGCCAGGAAGAATGAGGATGGCACAGGACAGGACTAGTTTCAGATCTTTTGTTCAAAGGGTCACTATGAGTCATACTTGACTTAATGGCACCAAACAACAAACAACAACAACAACAGCAAAATTTGGTCAAGAGTATGGAGATTTGCTTAAAATAGAGTAAGCCCCACCCAGTAGTCTAAGGAGAGTTACATTTGAAAGAAGGCAACTACAGAAAGAGACATTTTGTCAATAAACAGAGACAAGATTAAGCTGATGTGTTTGTTTAACTCATTTTGAGCACCTGGGTTTACTTGATGAGAGGAAGAGGAATGCATCAGAAGTCTTTTTCCAGGCCTTTAAAGTCAAAGGATGCTGGTTAGTATACTCAATGTGCGGTGATCACCTGGGTCACTTGATGAGTAGAAGTGTAAGATACACAGTAATGGAACGACAGGCCAATTTTGGAATTGTTCCTACAATACTATGATGAATGAATAAATGAAGAAGGGTTGCTGGTTTGTGGAGAAGAGAGTCCTGAGGATCATTGATGTGTTAACTTGGGTGATGTGGGGCTGAGTTTGAGTGAGGGGACCAGCTTGTCTGAAACACAGGAAGAAAGGTGGACTCCTAAGTTGGTGGCTGATTTCTATTTGGACCTAGCCATGAATGGCTGGGGATGCTTTGACTGGAACCCAGACAGATGAGGAGAATATGGTGTGTTCTAGAGCTAGTGTTAAGTACTTTTACCTGATGGTTTTCTCTGGTCTGGACCTTTATTTATAGATACGAGTGCTCAATGTTTCAACTGTATTCAAAGATGCTTTGGAGAAAAAGACATGCTTGTTCCTCAGAATTCTGGTTTGATAAGACAGGACAAATGAAAAATTCACTCCCTAAAATGGGAGAATTAAGACATAAAGAGTGAGTCATCTAGCTGATATATTTCTCTAATTATAGCTGAACAGTAATTGGAAAGTTAATCCTTCGTATAATGAGAAGTAATGGGTAGAAAATCCAAGACATGGGCTGCAGTATTAGTTTAAAAGTTAGCTTTTTAGCCATTATATTTTTCTCCTCCAGTCTCTTGCAATTTTAACTGCAGATACATGATATTACAAATTATCAACAACTGTGAAACTTGGAAATAGAGAAAGTGCTTCCCACACTGAGCAGCCAGACTTGAGGGACACTGGAGTATGGCCCTGGCGACGAGACCTTGGTGATGGTGATGATAAGACTGTGGCAATGCTATAGACAAAATGTGGTAAGGTATAACCAGAAGAATCCTGAGATAAAGGCCACACTTAAACTTTTTACTCGTCTTGTTGGGTGATGGAAGGAAAATCTTCCTGCTGAACTGAAACCACAACTTGGATTAATTGAAGAGTTGTGTCTTAGGACTGCTGAGCTAAAGCTTGCCCTTATATTGTGAGATATATTCTTTGCCTTCTCCACCTTCAAACTTACTTCCCTAATAAATCCTAATTTATTACCATGGTCTGTGAGTAAACAATGAATAAACTAACCCCTTGCTCTTAGTGTGGTTCTAAAGGCATCAAGGAATCAGCCACAGGCTCTTTATCTGTTAACTGTTTTAGGGTGGTAAGGGGCTCTGCTAGTCTCGCTCCCTTTGACTCTTTCAGAAAGACATCAAAAACCCTGTTCCCCCATGACCCATTTCTACCCTTGAGACAATTGGTGTCAGAAGAAGTGTGATTTGTTGGTTCAGTCTCACAAAAACATGGTTTGATTTTGTGAATGCGAAGCTTGT